GAGGTCCGCAAGCACGTGTGCAGGGTCTGCGGCAAGGCCTTCCTGCAGCGCGGCCACCTGTCGGAGCACGAGGCCACGCACAACCGCGTCAAGCGCTTCGCCTGCCAGGCCTGCGGCAAGCAGTTCGCGCGGCGGCGGGAGCTGCGCGTGCACGAGGCGCGGCACCGCGGCCAGGCCGCCTACCGCTGCCAGTTCTGCGGCCACGCCAGCTACCGCAAGAACAGCCACTACCACCACCTGGCCACCCACCTGGCCGGGCCGCGCGCGCTCTGCCAGAGCTGCTTCCAGATCTGCGAGAGCCCGGCGCAGCTGCGCGAGCACCAGCTGGAGCACCGGCACGCCTGCGAGCGCTGCGGCGCCAGCTTCCGCCTCAAGAGGGACCTGGCCCGCCACCTGGCCTCCTGCGCCTCTGGGTAAGGAGAGTGCGTTGGTTTCACTCGTCTCGCGCCTGCCTGGTTCCCTGGGGTACGTGCGCGCCGGTGCAGCTGCCGAGCCGATGGGGGCACTGTCCCCCAGCCAGCCTGCAGAGAAGCGCGCGTGCCGGGGCCCCCAGACTCCGGAGCCTGGCCTGCAGGGGGCTGTGCTGGAGGAGCTGTGGCCCCGGGGCCCCGTCCCGCGCTGTGTGTAAGCAGCAGGCTTGAGGTCCTGGTAACTCTGCCCCAGCTGAGCAGCTCCACTGGAGTGCTGCCCCCCCCTGCGAGCTGCTGCCCCCCGCGAGCTCCCCCTCCAATGTGCTGCCCCCCCCCGTGCTGCAGGAAGCAAGCAGCTCTGCACATCCTGTGGCAGTGAGCAGTGGACAGGGGACAGTGGGCAGTGAGCAGTGGACAGGGGACAGTGGGCAGTGAGCAGTGGACAGGGGACAGGGGACAGTGGGCAGTGAGCAGTGGGCAGTGGGCAGTGAGCCAGGGACATCAAATAAACTAGGAGCTGCATTCCTAATGTGGAAATGGTGTTTCTGTACAGTAAAACATTCTGTGAATAAATCACTTTAAACATCTGTTGTGTGGCCGATTGTGTTGTGTTGTAGAACGATACTTCCCAGCGTGCGGCTGAGCCACAGGAGCTGCAGTGCTGCAGGCAGGCGCTGCCTGGGTTCAGTCTGTCAGACTTGCTGCGTCTCAGTCTCCCGCTTGCCGTTTGTCCAGAACCCACGACCACAGGCTCACCAGAGCCCAGTATTCCTGGTACACCCTGGACAGGACGCAGGTCCTTCGCAGGGCCACAGTCACACACACTCGCACCAGGGCCAGTGTTCATAGAAGACACTTAACCCCCCAGCACGTCTTTGGACTGCGGGAGGAAACCCACTACAGCGAGTGGAGAGCATGCAGACTCCACACAGACAGGAGCGCAGGACTTCAGCGCTGTGAGGCAGCAATGCAAACTGCTGCCCAGTATCACATCTTTCTATCGGAGGCTGCAGAAATGATAATCGAATCAAGAGCCTGAAAGAAAAGTGAAAAGTTAAACGGACCGTGGACACCTCTGTGGGTGCAGAAAGATCGTGGGGTCTCGTCTCAGAGCCCGTGCACGCCAGGGTAACGCGCTCTCGGAGCCTAGCGGCGAGTCTGCAGCTCCGAGCGGAAGCGGCTGTCCCGTGACAGGAAGCCGGAAGTCGCGGCGAGCGCTGCGTGTATGGAGACCGGACCGGCGCCCTGCGCAGGATGGGTACAGCGGTTGCAGCCGGCGTGGCTCTGGGGTCTGGTATCGGAACCCAGAACGCTTCCTCGGCACCGGCCGGCACCGTCCAGGGCCGTGACTGACCCGAGTGGACGGTACCGGTCCGGTAAAGTAGCTGAGCCGGTTTGAGACCGGCGCTGATGAACGAGCGGTGAAACGCGAGGCGCCGTGTGAGGATCTCGGCTAATTCTTATCTAAATCTCTAAATATATCTCTAAATAATATCTAAAACCGGCCCAGCTGTGGATCACTGCCGCAGCCAGGCCTGTCCCGGCAGCGTGAGGCGGCTTGAGTCATTTCAGTACAGAAACTCATCTTGCTTCAGTACAGAAACTTCACGGGGGTGCGTGTATCCAGATGCTCTCTGGTCCTGGAAATTCGCACCTGCTCGAACATCGACGTTTTAGTTCTGAAACATCCGAAGCGAAACCGTGAAGCGCAAAGCAGCCCCCAGTGGGAGCGCCGTGCGCTCTGCTGGTATTGATTAACTAGACCCGGCGGCGCTGTGGGTCGTGTCGCTCGGACACAGGGCAGCTCGCCAGAGCGACGTGGCGCTGCGGACGCAGGCGGACGGGCTCGGTGGGAGATGTCGAGGGGTGGCCGGAGGTACAGAGCCGCGCCGGTGAGCGGCGGCTCGCTGTCACGCTGGGAGCCGGGGAGGCTGCCCCGGGCCCGGGCGCTGCTGTGCGGGCTGTGCGGGCTGCTCGCCGTAGCCGGGCTCCTCGGGGTGTACCTGTCCAGCGACACGCCCGGAGACCTGCGGGTCGGCTCCGCGGACTGGACCACAGACCGAGTAAGTGCCAACGGCGGCTCTGAGCTCGGAGCACGCGTTGACTGTCTTGCAGGCGCCTCGGTCCGGGTGAAGTGCAGAAGACAGCCGTGTGAGCTGCGTCAGGTGGATCCAGATGAGTAAGCAAACGCGTTGTGGTCTTCGCGAGTGGAGGTGAAGGAGGCAGTATCCGCGTTCATGCTGTGTCGCCGGCGTTAGCTCTGAGCGCACCCTGTCTCTGCTGATCTCCCGGGCTTGTCCCGGCGCTGCTGGCCCGGTGCTCACTGGTCTCTCCCTGCCTGTCCCAGCTGGCACACAAGCCCCGCAAGCTGACAGCCGGACAGCTGCGCAGCCTGACGGCCCGGGTGGACCGCCGGCGGCAGTGGGACGCGCTCCTCCGCCCGATCCTGACCGAGAGGCGCCCGGGCACCGCCGGAAGCCAGGCTGTGCGCCAGGTGAGAGGCTGTGAAAGGGTAGAGAGAATTGTGAGCAGACAGCTGCTGCTGAACAGACACAGCTGGAAGGTGGAAGATCGTCAGGAAAAGCCCCTGGACCATGAGAAGTTTCCAGACTCTGAAACCCCCCTTCAGGCTAATAAGACAGCTGGGCTCAGACTGTAAAACCCTCTGTGACACTGGAGCAGTTCGGGGCTCTGTGGGAAGTATACCTTGTATTTCTGGCCATCTTCAGCGCAGTGAAACTCGTCTCCGAGCTCCCCTGCACTGCGTGTCCACAGCCCCAGGTCACAGCGTCCTGAGCGGTTTGTCAGACCCGTCTCTGAGCCCCTCGAGCAGCGGGACCTTGACGCCTGTCTCTCTCTCCCAGCACATCTCCTCCGTGCTGGGCTCTCTGTCCGCAGGCTGGACAGTGGAGGTGGACTCGTTCACTGCGCCCACCCCCCTGGGCCAGCTCACCTTCTCCAACGTCCTGGCGGTGCTGGACCCAGCGGCTCCACGGCGCCTCCTGCTGGCCTGCCACTACGACTCCAAGCTGCTGCCCGCGGACTCGCGGGGCCGGGTGTTCGTGGGGGCCAGCGACTCGGCCGTGCCCTGCGCCATGCTGCTGGAGCTGGCCAGTGCGCTGGACGCCCAGCTCCGGGCCCTCCGACAGCAGGTATCCCGTGTGCGGCTGCTCTCCTGGGCCTGAGGCTCTGCTGCTTGCGGATAGACCTCCTGCAGGGATAGCAACATTGGTACCCAGGAGCCGGGGAGCGGATGGCGGAGGGTGGGAATTCCCTGGGAATCTTGAGCTGTGGAACTGATTGCATCACTTGAGCCCTGGGAGCAGGTGCAGATGGTTGAGCTGTTACTGTTTTTCTCGGTCAGTGATAGAGGTCTTGTTTGCAGAGCAATTTGATATAAAGTGACCCTCGGATGGTTCGCTGGGAGAGAGGTCACGACCCTGTGCTCTCTCTGCCCAGAGGCCTGCGCTCACCCTGCAGCTCGTCTTCTTCGACGGCGAGGAGGCCTTCCAGGAGTGGACCCCCACCGACTCCCTGTACGGCTCGCGGCACCTGGCGGAGCGCATGGCCGCGACGGCCCACCCCCCTGGCTCTGCTGGCACCAGCCAGCTGGACGCCATCGTGAGTCTGCCCCGTCTGCCCAGTGTGCTGGCACACAGGGCCTCGGCCAGCACGGTCTTCATCAAGCTCTACACTTCCCCAAAAGCTGTCTCGCAGGGAGTGTTGCACGTCCTGGGAGACGGACAGCTGTTAGCCTGGTTAGAGCCAGAGTAAATATTCCCCGTCTGCTCCACAGACTGTTACTAACCACAGTGGTTGGGTGTGACTGGGGGGGAAAGGGGGCAAGTAGGCTGGACCTGAGGGCCTGTGAACAACCCTGTCTCCCCCTGCAGGACCTGTTTGTCCTCCTGGACCTGATCGGTGCCCCCGATCCCCTGTTCGTCAACCACTTCGACAACACGGCCCGCTGGTTCGACCGCCTCATCGCTGCCGGTGAGCTGCTGTCCCGTCCCGCGTGCCGGCACGCCACCGCATCGGAACAGGCCTCGCGGAGCTGCTGGGTGCAGGGCAGGCCTGGGCGCTGCTGCTCCTCTGGGGCCCCCTGACCTGCAGCCCTCTGCTCCCTCTCTCTCCTGCAGAGAAGCGCCTGCACAAGCTGGGCCTGCTGGCGTCCCACCCCTTGGAGCAGAGCTACTTCAGGAAGGACGTGTACCTGGGGCCGGTAGAGGACGACCACGTGCCCTTCCTCAGGAGAGGTGAGTGCTCACGCCCCCTGCTGGCTGGCCGCCCCCTCGCTGCACCCCGCGCCCTCATGAGCGCTCTCCCCCCCCACCCACAGGCGTGCCCGTCCTCCACATGGTGGCCACACCCTTCCCCTCCTTCTGGCACACCCTGGAGGACAGCGAGGAGCAGATGCACCCCCCTACAGTGGACAACCTCACCAAGATCCTGGCCGTCTTCCTGGCCGAGTACCTGGGCCTGTGACCCTGGACCGACCCGACAGAGCTCCACCCTTACCACCGCTGTGGAGAATCGTGCCCGGCCAGCCTGGTCAGTGGAAGATCTCGGGTGCCCACGCTGGCAGCAGGCCTTGTGCTCGGCACCCTTGTCGGTCCAACTGCTGTATCGTGCCAATGAGGGAGTCTCTTCCTCCTGCACGCTGAGCCCATTTAAAATGCACCCAAATGCTTGAATTCCTTCTTTAATAGTGATTTTTTTTCTATGCTAGAAATGCAAAAGGCTACGACTTATTTAAGACTTGTGGGAAGAGCCTGAACAATCTTGTTACTGTTGAACAGTGGGGATCTAAACAGTACTGAGCGCATGCATACACACCTCAGTGAGGTAAAGGAAGGGCTTTCCTTCGAAGCTCTACAAATGAAATGTGGAGGTAATGATTAACTGTTTAAAGATGAAATGCTGCTCTGCTTGCTAGGGTTAGCTGTTAGACGGGAAAGTGTCTGAATTTCCAGCAGCTGCCTGGTGTGGTTGGCAGTCAGGATTCTGGCGAAGAAGGAGGTAGAGAGGCCGTCTGCAGGGCTCTCTGCTTCCTCCAGGCTGGTCTTGACTGCTGGGCCAGCGGCACGTCTGAGACCTGCTGTCTGACAAACGGCTCGAGATTCTGCAGAAGGCATTAAAGCACAATATGCCGGTGAGGCAAAAATATACTGTATGTAGTGAATTGCGATTGCATATTTAACAGTCGAGGCTAAATAAATTTGCACTTGTGTTCAACGCTTGTGGGGTGTCCACTGTCCCTTGGGCCTGGCTGTCTGTAGCGACGCTGGAGCGTGCAGCTTGAGACAGGCTGGTGTCTCTTCCATCCTCCTGATCTTCACATCCCCCCCCACTCTTCCCAGTCCGTTCCTATTCCTGCTGCTGCCAGCAGGGGGAGGCACCGCAGGATCAAAACATTCTGTCAGAACCACGGAAGTGTGAACTAAAGGTTTATTCCACGCTGAGAAGAAACCCGACGTTTCGGCTGGGCCGCCTTCCTCGCACCTGAGGCTCCCCAGTCCAAACGCTGTGTTTCCCTGCTTCTCTTTTCCGCAGGAATAAGCCTTTACGTGTTCCTCTGCAGCCTGCGCCTGCTGACGCAGCTCCCTGCTTGAACTACGTGTAAACCAGTTGTGATTTGCCCTTGACAGAAGACATGCGTCTAACACCCTCTTCAGCCTGGAAGCGCTGTCGAGCTGCTGCAGCTCTCTGGAGGGGCCCAGGGCTGCAGGCAGGAAGACTCAGCCGGCGTGGATGAACAAGAGTGATCGCACCCTGCTTTACTGTTAGCTTCGTGTCGCCCTGCTGGTGCTGGGCAGCTCACTTCAGTGTTTTGCCCTGGGCTGTTATTTGTACAGTTCTGGTCCCAGTGTGATTTCAGCACTGTTTTTTTTTGGGGGGGGAAAATGACCCTCCATGTGGCAAAAGATTAAAACACCAGTTCCTTCTCCTGGTTTCCCTTCACGTTAAGCAGGTGGTCCTTTGGGTGTTTTTTTCCTTGTTTAAAATGTGGAGTATCTGCAGCCCTGTGTGACTTCTGTAGTCCAGGGAGGCTGACAGTGCAGCACGTTCTGGAAGGAATGTGAACGGGAAGAGAAACTCGGGCTTTCTTCCTGCTGCTCTGAAGGGCCGGGCAGCCCTGATGCTATATCAGCCTTTCTGCAGTGGAAAGCCTGGGGGAGAGGAGAGATTCCTGCATGTCTGCATTTACGCCCCCTCAGCCCGGCAAGGGGGGGTCTGTTCAAGCCCACTGCTGATAGCGACGGCGGCAAGACCTTCGATTACTGCCTTGGTGTGCACAGAAACAAGTCTGAGCAAACTGTTGGGTCACATCACAGGAAGGACTTTAAAATGCGCAATAGTGCAAGTCCTGTAAGGATAGGATAAGTGGAGATGCGTCGGCAAGCGTAGGCTGCAAAGGATCAATAGGTTTATTCCCTGCTGGAAAGAGAAGGAAGAAAATGGAACGTTTCGGCGGTGGAGCCTTCATCAGGTGTCAACCGAAGAGTGCTGAAGAAGGCTCCACCGGCGAAACGTTCCGTTTTCTTCCTTCTCTTTCCAGCAGGGAATCTTTACTTGCTCCTAAGTATAGGATATAAGTATAAGGATACTAGATAAAGATGACAAAGGTGTTTTACTGTGGGGTAAGACAGTAGAGTGAATCTCTGAGTGACAGCTGGGTACAGGACTCCAGGGCCCTGAATACAGAGGGGTGCTGGGCTGTTGCCAGTGAGGTTTCCACAGAGCCGCCGATGAGACTGTGCTCGAGTTTCACTGCGGGGGGGAGGGAGGCCCCCCCACACCTGCGCCCCAGCGTCTCCCCTGGCTCAGGGGTCCCCCAGGTCTCCAAGATCCACTCCCAGCAGGGGCGCGGGTGGGAGGTGCTGCCGGTGTGGGGGTGGGGGCCCCAGGCTGGGATACAGGAGTCGGGGGCTCTGTGGAGGTGAAAGGTCGTCATCAGAGCTGGGGTACCCTGGCCCCAGGTCAGCGGGGGACCGCTGCTGAGAGCCGCAGGGCTGGCCGGAGCTCTCCCTCTCCCTGAGGGCAGACAGAGAGGCACAGCGTCAGTGGCTTCAGCTGACGAGACCCTCACAGCTGGAAGGAGGGTAGGTGACCCCGAGCAGTTTTATTCGTCCTGGGACCCAGTGCACACCCCGCTAGACCCACAGAACCCTGCTGCTGACTGTTACTGTTACTATTTCATATAGCGCCTTTAAAAGTAGCATCTCGAAGTGCTTTACAGGAGTGTAAAAAAGTTCAAACAAAAGAAAACGGTTATAAGTACAGCCAATTGCAGAATAAGCACATATAAGAAACACAAAAGGTTAGAACTGCAGCAGGGACATAAAATTCCAGAGTTTTGGGACGCTAATAATATTATTATTATTAGAGTTCATACTAACTACATCATGAAAGAGGATATTGCCAGGTGTTTTGGCTGGGTGGTCAGTCTATCTCAGATTTTGGGTCCTGGGTTCAAGATCAGTCTGGAACACCTTCTGCATGGAGTCTGCACGTTCACCCCTGCTCTCTGTGGTGATAGACCTGCACGCTGTCCAGTTCCACTGCCCTCTAGTCCCAGCTTGGTCAGCTCAACCCCCGATCTGATTGCCCCCCCGCAAGACTGCGCCTGTGAAGGGAGGTGGAGAGAGGGGTCACCTGTCCCTGGAGCTCGAGGCCCGGTCCCTCTGCCTGCGGTTCTTGAACCAGTTGCTGACCTGTGTGGTGGTCAGCCCTGTGGCCTCAGCCAGCTCGCGCTTCTCCCGTGGGGAGGGGTACGGCTTGTGGAGGTACCACTGCCTCAGGACGCCGCGGGACTTCTCCTGGGGACGACACAGAAACACACCGGCGGTCAGCACCCTGAGGCCTGGGCCCTGAGGCCTGGGCCCTGAGGCGAGACCCTGAGGAGGGACCCCTCAGTGTCTTTCAGCAGGGAGACGCCCCGACAGCGCTTGCGCCCCTGAGCCAGACAGCAGCTCTCACAGTAACGGCAGGGATGTAGGGATACTGTAGCTCAGAAAAAACATCACACGACACTCTGGAAGCCACACCAATACACTAAAGAAGCAGCAAGCCTATAACCGGTCCACCTGCACTGTAGTTTAACAATGAAGCAAACACAAGTGTGGTAAACCACAGGAAAGTCATCGCTGCACCAGCGTGCAGTGGAGGACAGTGGTGGTGAGAAAGCAGTTGTACAGTCATGGTGAAGCAAAGTAAACTTGTGGATTGAGCACGGGCACGGCACAAGAGCACTGAGGGATTAATGGAGAGATTCCTAAGCACTTGACGCAGCACACAATGAGGGGTTGCCAGATCATGCAGCAGTGTGAGCAGGCACGGGCGCGCCTGAATATCTCCCTCACTGGGCCGTGGAGGCTCGCTGACAGCTGCTGAGCGGGGTGCCCTCTCTCTCACCCTGGCACCCTCATGAGCCGTCAAAGCGCAGTGCCTCCATCGGCACAGCTTCGCCCTCAGCCCCACTCACCCACGGCCTCCTCACAAACCAGCTCTGGCTCTACAGTGTGACTGCAGCCTGGAGCACTGCACAGAGCACAGCGCAGAGCACAGAGCACAGCGCAGAGCACAGCGCAGAGCACAGCCACAGCAAGCTGACACCTGGACACTACAGGCTTTCACCTGCAGAAATGTGATGGTGATAGCACATATCTTTAAACCCAAGGAAGGCAAAAACTGGAATGCAACAGGTTCTTGCTGTTGCTGCTGCAAGGGAAAGCCCAATACTAAGGACAAGAACAGGATAAATACTCCTTCATAGATTTAAAACTTTTTTAATTCCTATGGTTGATGCAGGGAGGGAAGGGTTAGAAATAGCAGAAAAAAAGAACATGAGAAAGTTGACAGAAGAGAGGAGACCAGCTGGCCCATCAAGCCTGTGAAGAAGACGCCTTCAACAGCACGGAAAGCTCGTTCCACACTCCCACTGCCCTTTATGTAAGCTGCTCTCACGTCAAGCAGCTTTTAAGAAAGAAAACAAAACCAGATGTGTCAGCTCCCTCACAGCCGTGTCAGGCAACATGCAGAGGTTCTGCCAGAAACACGTTCTAACTCCCCAAAACCAGTCTGACCGGTCTGGATCTGTCGACACAAGCCTTCGAGCAGGAGACGGCAGCCCAAACACACTTGCCTTTCATCTCGGCCGGAAAGTCCTTTCAACGCCCGGCAGTATCTATTAAAACCTTTCCAGGTGTGTTTGATGAGCTCAGTTGTCGTGAGGTGAGACAGTAAACCTCAGATAACTGCAGCAAGATGCAGCACAAGAAAAGAGCAGGAGAAAGTCCAAACGGCAGCATCTTCACTCGCAAGAAAGTCAGCATGGAGAAAGAGAGTGTTCACTGTGTGTCAGCAAAAACGAACAACTGGGGACAGGATTGCTGCACAGGACAGGTTACTGAAGACTATGACTGTAGATGGTCCTGTACTCTAAAGACTAGGCAGCTGCTTTAATGTTCCTTTACAATTTCAGTTCTGTAGGTGATCTGGATGTTGAGCACATATATGTGAGTTGCTTCTAAACAGACTAAAAATAACACAAGGTGGGCTACATGAACTCTGCCTTTGTTGTCTGATTAAGAAGACCCGCAAAGTGGTAGTAACCTGTTACGCTGTCCCAGTGTCAGGCTGACAGACGGACACAGGGATGGAGGGAGGAGAAATGGCCACCTGGAGTCTCTCACTCCCAGGAGTGGGACTATGGCAGGAAGCTCAGCGGTACCTTGAAGCAGTAGCTGGTCTCTTCCCCGTCCCAGATGGTGCGCGGCAGGGGGAACTTGCGCCGGACGCGGTACTTGCCCACAGCCCCCAGGGGGCGCCCCCTCAGCCTCTCGGCCTCCAGGTAGTGCGCCCTGAGCCACAGCTGCTGCAGGTAGCCGTGGTTGTGCGGGGAGAAGGGCTGGCTCTCCAGCAGCTGGTAGAGCTCTCGGAAGCTGCCGTGGTGAAAGGCCACCAGGGCCTTGGCCTTGAGCACGCTCTCGTTCCTGTGCAGGAGGTCGCAGGGCGGCAGCGACCACAGGAAGCGGCCCAGGCGCTCCACGCTGCCCCGCTGCAGCAGGACCTCGCAGACGCACGCCACCTGGTCCTGGGAGAAGCCGAACGCCATGCCGGACCCTGGGAAACCCCGGCGAACACTCCTTTAGAACCGGATCCTGACGCAGGTCTTTTTCCAGGTTGCGTTTACTGTTGACAGTACTGTCACAGAAGTACAGGTCTGATTAAAGAGCAAACTCCGAAGGCTTGGAAACGGTCTTTCAGGATCCCGCTGGGCGACACATCCTTCTGACTGAAGCAGGACCACCCAAGACAGCTGTCTGATGTCCCTGCCTTGACTGATTTCAGCACAAAAGAAAAATGGATCAGAGAGGGGAAATAATTTTACAATAACACCAACAAATACTTGTTTTGCCTTTTTTCTTGCAAGAGAGACACTGAGAAGGAGAAAAATCCTCAATACCAAACCTCTAGAAGATGTATAGAGTGTCTTACTGAGTCAAAGACAGTCGTTTTTTAAAAAAAGTCCCACTGCACTTGAAGGTGGCCAAGAGTTCATGTAAAAGTGTCTTTAGCACAAATAAATCCTAAAAAGAAAGTGTTCAGTCAATGATCAGACCCCTAAAATTACCAAGCAAAGCTGAAGAACAAGGTGCTTTCAAGATAAAAATAAAAAGTGTGAACATGAGGGATTAACTTCTCCACTTCCAAATCCCTCAGAAGAGGCAGCTGTGTTGTTCTGTGCGTTGTGCCCACTCCAGCTGGAGGACAGCGGGCTCTATATCCCAGGCACCGGGACTCCACTGTCCCTGATCCGGGCCCTTCCTTGCAAACAAGACTATTGAGAACCAACCTCCGCTGAGAGACGCTGCAGACCAGGCGCTATGGAAAACACAGCTGGTCTGAATCCAGGCTCAATCTTGGCTTCTTTTCCAAATGAAAACTGAGACACCAGAAGTTTCCCAGCCGCATGCAGCAGCAGACGTGCTTGCAGATCTGCTGCAGTGTCTTTGTGTCTGCTGCCAGGAGAGGCTCCCTTGCTGAGCGGGCGAGCCGACCGGTCGCTCTGGAGCAGCCCGAGCCCAGCCAGCCTGCAAGGCGTCGCTTTCACCCCGGCAGCGCGGGGCAGCCCAGCCCAGGCAGCTGATTGGCTCCCCGCAGAGCCAGTAGGAAATCCCACAGATCTCCCCTCAAACCCCGTGACCGTAGTAGGAGCCACTGCGTTAGACACAGGTAACCTGAGCCCATAGGGGTTAGAAAAACAAACCCTGAATCCTGAAGAAAACTGGCAGCATCACACTGAACCTGACACACTTCCACACACACACACACACTCGGGCTGAGTTATGCAAAACAGGCCAGATTTGAATGAGTTTTCTTTTTCAAATCAAATCATTTCACTATTGACAAGGCTGCTCTTTCATGCTCTTCAGGTGCCAGGACTGGAGACGCCCAGCAGGCTGATTCCCTGGAAGACCGATCCAGACGCCCTGGATGGGCGACAGCACCCTGAAGCTTGTGTACCTGGATCAGAGGAGCCCCTACCGGAGCCAAGAGAAGCCTGTTCGGCGCTGTGTCTGACTACGGCCAGCAGGAGGCGATGTTCATCCCCTTCCCCTCACTGGCAACACACTAGTCACAGCAAAGCACAAGCAAGCAGGAGTGTCCTCTCTCTGGACTCCTGTATGCAGCAGGGTATTACAGCACTTCAACATGTTCCAAGTGCTGAGCCTTTCACACACAAAACACAGTATTCTTCCAGAAAATAAAGTGCATTGCTTTTGCAAATTCACCTTAAATGTGTTCAAAAGGCTATAAAGCACAGCTCTGTCCTGAAGTCTGAAGGCTCATGATTAATGAGCCTGTTGGCTTTGTCTGGTTTGAGTATGTCAGAGAAGAGCTCAGGGAGAAGGCTGATGTGAAACGACGAGACTGGCCTGGTTCTGAAGCGGTGAGATCTGTCACCTAACTCTCACCCCAGCAATCAGTTCAGTGTTATTTCCCCTGTTAGGTGCAGGACCACCCCCCCCCTTCAACTTCATCTAACAGAATTGCATCTCTCCAGCCTGGCTCAATACGTCCAGGAATCACGGCAGTATGAAAACACACTCATGACAAGCTCAGGTATGACTCCAGTAGGTTGAGAACAGTGCTCAGGCCGAACCTCTTAACGGCACTGTGTATAAACACTGGTCCCAGGAACCACCCTGTAACCCGTCACCTGGGCTCTTTAGTACAGTAATCAGATGAACTTTCAGGTCCAGCATTTTGCAACAGCAGCCTGTCAGCAGTCCCAGCGGTAGCTCTGCCTTTGCCCGGAACATCAGAGTGCTCCTGTCTGTACTCAGTCTCTCACGGCCAGGCCTGTTTGAATACTGCTGCCAGGGCAACCGTCTGGGGCGTGGCCAGGCGATCCAGGTCACGCACAGGAGCAGGGGGGGGAGGTGATCAAGGTCATGTGCTTCACCGGTACGACAGAGGTGGAAAGCAAGAAGGATGCTTGCAGCCTCCCACTGCTGCGGACCGAGAACAGCAGCGAATTAAACAGGAACACAAGGGGGAGTGTTTCAGCTGATATTTCAAACTAAACAATAAATACTTGCAGGGGCATTTTCAGGACTCTTAGTATCAAAGCAAAATGTGATGCCCATATGGGACTGCAATGGGAACTTTAAAAATCAGCTGCAGAATATCACGATAACTGCTCTACACAATATCACAAGACCAAAGAGCAGATTCATTCCTGCTGTGGAGCATGGAGGGAAACACGGAGTGAACAGGTTTAAAAAACGACACTGCGCCGCCAATCCCCTACTGTGGACCAACAGCCCATCAGATTCATGTACCTCTCAGACCAGCGTGGAAACGAAGCGGAGGAGGATCGCACCAGAAAGGGGAAGGTCACACAAAGAAAGATTTTTTTTTGCTTTCATATGTTTATTATAATATCACAGTAACATAGTTTAGAAAAATAAAACACTTTGGAGTACAAAACATGATAAAAAAAAGAAATGGAAGATGTATTCACATTGAACCCTTTTGGATCCCTTTGATATAGAAACGGTTCTCGAAACTCTTTGGTGTAGCGAAGCTGAGAGAGGAGAGCTGAGAGAGGGCCGAGTGGAGGGGACTGCAGACACAGGACGGGGTGCGTTTCCAATGAGCCACTGTAAGGGGACGCAGGCGCGTGCAGAGCCGGCCCCTCTTCTGCGGCAGCTCCCAGCGGGAGCGGGACTCCTACTCGCGCGCCGCGGAGCGCTCCGGCTCGGCCGCAGGCACTCAGGCTATTTCTGAAAGTGTGTTGCACAAGCCACCTCGCCCACTGAAAAAAAGCTAAATACACAATTCACTGGACACCGCAAACATGGGGTTTGCAGATTCAGACCGTCTCTCGCTGGGCCGCTAGCGACTCGCTGATCTGAGGACCTCAGCCAGCTGCTGCCCGAAACAAGCCAGAGGGTCAGATTCCACCTCACAGCTGGGCAGCTCGTTACCAACCCCGCCAACCCTTGGTGTAAAGACATGCCTCCTGTGCTGTCTTCAATGCGCTTCCCCATTGTTTCGGGTCCCCTCATGTTCTTCTCTGTTCCGATGAAAGGAGTCGTGTTCTCCTAGCCTGTCAGTTTAGGACACTCGCTTGAGCCAAGAAATGTACTTAACTGCTCTTCTTTGGACTGATTCCAGAGTGGCGTGATGTTTTTTGTAGTGTAGTAACTACAACTGTGATTATCTTCTATAAAAGTATACAATACGTGCTTACAAGGTATATATAGGTACAGATACAGAAAGAGTGAGTTTCTATAGCTCCATGTACTATGTAGTGATCCCTTAGGGATCAATCTGTTTCTAAGAGGAATTAAACCCAAAGAGTTTTTCCTATCATGCAGAGTTTTGCCATAGTCACGTCTGCACTCGTGGTGCTTGGTTTGTAAATATCACACTCTAAATTCCAAAAGGAAACGCACACAGCCCACACCTACTGAAAACAAAAGGAAAAGAAAATTCAGACCAGCATAAACATTCCCTAGAGCAGCGTTTCCCAACCCTGGTCCTGGAGAATCACAGGCTCTTCTGCTTATTGTTCCAGTTGAGTTCCTGCTCACAAGCTCATCAATGTCAGTTTTCTATTAGGGCCATATTAGTCAGGCTGATTTAATCACTTAGAAATACCTTCTAGCCTTTTAATTGGCATCGGCCCTGTACCAAGCTGAGTGATTCAGAAATGCCCTCGTACGGATGTGGTTCCTGAAATGTAACTAATAGGACCTCCACAGAAATAAAACTCACTGTCTGATACAGTGTTATTCCCAGCTGAGTCTGTTCATCACTTTCTCAGCTAGTAAGAGCTGTTCTATCTGAAATAACGTTGAGGACAGCCTGCGTTCAGCCCAGTGTGCTGAAGCTGCTGCAAGTTACTTGTGTACTTGTGTCAGGTAGTCAAGTGATTTTAACACAAGTACAGACTGAAGAAACAAGTTAAGGAAAAGTCTCACTGGGCAAGCAGATGGATAAAGTCGTCCATCCGCACTGGAGGAGTCGAGCTCAGCTGGAAGGGAAACCAGCAGAGAGTGGGACTCCAGGGCCGGGGCGGGACTACTGTGCTGGAGACCGGGAGTGAAGTCACTCTGGACGTTTCTGTTGGAGTCAAGCAGGTAAAGGCAATGGCATGGTGCTGTGTGGACCAGCAAATAGCGAAATACAGCTAACGAACCTACACCCATCTCATACACACTTAATCGTGTAACGTTATCTTCCCCATACGACATGCATACTGATCTGTGAAGTACCCATTACTAATACAATAGTTAACAAACAACAATTACCAACCAACAGTCAGGAGGGAAGTTTCTAAGGGCCCTCCATCGCTTCCTGCTGTGAACTTGCCCACTCCCTCTCAGCCTCCACCAGCGGGCGGCAGCAGAGTGCCGCCCTGGCCAAGACCCATGGCTGTTGGGGGCAGGGGCTGTCCAAGGCCCAGGCTACAGGCCTATGATGCAGAGTTGCATGAAAGTGTCAGATGCATAGAAGGAGCTCTAAATTAATAAGCCATAGGGAAACTGTAACCATCCTTACAGAATATAACACTTCCCCAGTTAATATGATACTTGAACGTGTGCAAAACCTTCAACCTTAGGAAATGGCAGAGTGCTTCGAGCTCCTTGTAAGACCTGACCCACCCACATTCACTCATGTATCAGTATTCAGACTTAGTGAACAGACGTGGTCCCTGAAAGTGAAGCACTACCTGCAACAGTGAAGGAACACCTTGTGTCAGGAGCCAATTAGAAGGCCTGAAGAACAGGAATTTGAACAGGACATTTTGTGATTAAGAAGAGAACAGATTAGCGTTGCTTTACCAAACAGTTCTCTAGAATCACCACTTATTTTAGAGGGCGTGGGCAAATGTGCAAGAGAGGTGTTGACTGGAACTACATCTCTAAAGAGACATCATCCCGTTTTAGAGCTTAATTATGTCATCATTCCCTTCGAGGAGACAGGAGGAGTGTTTCTCAACAACAAGAAGTTTACTGAGTCTCCAGGCAGACATTCAGGTTTCCTAATCGGTTTCAGTTTCTTCTTTTCATTTGGAAGTGTCAGTTATTTATCACCCACCTCCCCCGTCTGGAGTCACTGACTGAGAGAGTGCAGACACGAAGACATGCCTGCCCTTTACAGCCGTCTCTCCTTGCAGGACGGGTAGAGCCAGCTGCAGGAACAGCACCAGGCTCGTGCCAGGGTGCAGGAAGTGTGGATTTTCACCCCTGCCTGCCTATTGCCCACTCTGCGAGCCAGGGGCACAGAACACCCCTCACTCTGAGCAGGCAGCCCCTGATCCTCTGATCTACACAGGGGCCCCACAGAGCACAGCTCTGATCTTGTCCTGCAGCCAGAAGAGCTGAACCACAGCTGCCAGCAGTAACAGTGGAAGCCCATCAGTTACAACAATCCAGCTCCTTACAATTAGGCTAGTACACAAGCTGTACACAACACTTCGCTGCCATCTCACACACCTCCAGTTACAGTATCAGTCCAGACGTTTAAGGCACTTAGATTTTCAAAGTAATCTCACTCACAAGAGCAAGCAACAACAACAAACTACACAACATAACGTAAAAACATATTGCTATTTCATTTCATAAAAAACCCAAAGTGGAAGTGTTTGCATAGAAAAAGGTTTCTATTTACATGTAGTGTTGCATCTCAGATCATCTGCAGCAGGGTGCAGGCTGACGAAGCAGTGGGCTCACATCAGAGGACGTGCACATCTGCTGCAGCTCCAGCACTTCCCTAGTTCTGCTGGTGACGTAGATTCAAGATTTCTATCCCTTAGTGACACGTTTAGCCACACTCAAGAAAGCCATAAAGAGTGTTAGAGCAGGAGTGAGCTTTTGGACGAAAAAGCAGCAATTCAGAATTAGAGTCCTCTGGAACTGACACAGTTCAAACAAGGGAAAGTGAAGTGTGTTTTCCGCGGGAGAGGAGGACGTTTCTCACACACAGCCAGGGCCTGGAGCCTGCAGGGCCACGGCGGTCCTGCTGGGGTAGGGGAGGGCTGTGCAGGGGGAAAACTGGAGACCAGTGTGACCGGCCCTCCCAGAACTGGACTGCGAGAACGACAAACGCTTGGATAAGGCTCCTTTACAACAAGTCCTTCAGAGCCTGACAGTACAATTCATCTCAGACGTCAAACTCAAAGAGCCACATCTCCACAGGGGAAGGTTACCTACTCAAACAAGTCTATAAAATGAACAAGGAAGTGGATGCTTTCACACATTATTTCTGTGCACAACTGCTTTTTTCAAGAGCCAAAGAGAGATTTTGATGCGACTAACCACTCATCTTAGGCGTTTCATTCTCTTTGGCCTCACACTGATACTAACACTCTCTTTAATTGACAAGTGTACTGAAGGAGCACCAAGCTTCTTTGTGCAACAGAAAGCTGAAGGTGCTCCCAGGAGCCTGTCCTGGAGACAAGAGCACTCACCGCTACAGAACAGAGCGCCGCCGCCGCTCTGCGGGCGAGGCCACACCCCCCAGGGACCGCCTGCCAGCGGGGCAGCGCGAAGCACCAAGAGTGGAGACTAGAACTACCGTGTAGGAAAGAAGTGAGAATCAAACTTGTGCAAGAGCAGACTTGTCCTTTTCTCACACCACCGTCAAAAGTTGTTGAATAACAGAAGAAACTGTTAATCATTTTCTATGTAAGTATGATGATGGTTGTTCTTTCCTGACTGCACTGCCTTCACTGAAAGGCCTGGCTTTTGCAGCAGTTGTCCCTGGTGGAAGGAGCTGTTTTGGGTGCGATTCTCGGGTCAGACGTGAGAAACAGCGCTGCCAGTCGCGTAGTGATGTGATCTCCGCCTGCATTTCTGACACGGCAACAGGCGCCAGCTGCTGAGCACCCTGCAGCCTCAGACAGGCTGAGGCATCATTCCCCAGCTACCTCAACCGCAAGGAAAGGGGAAAACTAGCTTTAGGTCATGCTGCAAAGAACACCTGAAATATAGCTCACAAAATGAAAATCTCTATTCTCCCAATGAACAACTTGATGTTGTACGGACACTACAGACTCACAGAAGCTGACCGTGCTGGCTGTGGGCATGAAGGAGGAGGCCCAGGGCTCCGCAGGTGGATGCAGAGCATCGCCAAAGCTGCATCTTCAAATCATGGCGACACTGCCCTCCTCCTGCTGGCCTGCTGAATCCTCACCCTTATCACAGCAGCTGCAGATCAGTCCAATCCTGCACCTCAACTGCACGCAGCTCACAGCAGGAGGAGTGCTGGAACACAGGCGGAGGTGCTCCAGGGAGAAAGACCAGCCTCCCAGGGAGCCCTGCTGCCCCTGTGACCCGGCCTGGCCAACAGCAAGCCTGCCTCAGCAGCTACCGGCAAACGAAGGTGTTGCGTCCTTGATGCAATGAACCGGGGGGCCCTTTACAAACGCTTGCGTTCCCAGGTGTGCGACTGCAGGAGTGCTCTCTGGTGTAAGTGACAGTGAGGGGCCTGTCCCTCCTGGAGCCCTGCAGTGCTGCACTGAGTGGGGGACGCTGGGGCGAGCCAGGGTGAGGGCTGTGCTGGGTGGATGGTGTTGCGGGCGACGGGCCGCCCCCGCGTTCAGAGTCCCAGGTCCTCGTCCACGGGGACGGACTGCAGTTGGGTGAGGACTTTGGGGTCCCCGTCCATGTCCTCGGGATCCTCAAGCTGGGCCTGCTCCCCGTGCGGTCCTGGCGAGGGCGCCCCCAGCAGGAGCCCGTCGCCGCCAGTCAGGCCCAGCAGCCCCTGGTGAGCCTCCTCCTCCGGCAGGTCCCCTTTCCTCACGTCAAACAGCCCCGGGCTCCACACCGCCGCCTGGCCTGACACGGGGGTGCTCATGGCCAGGGAGAGATGGGCGTCCCCCAGCTTGGACACCTGGGGGCTGAGGCCGCCCACCGTGCTGGGGGGGGCCACGTGCAGCATGGCCGTGGAGCTCACAGCCTCAGGGGCGGGGGCCGGATACAGACCCGCTGGACTCACAAAGCTCAGAGAGGAGTCGCTCTGGAAGGAGGAAGAGGAGGTGGTCGGAGAGGCCATGGCGAGGGCGGCGGGGCCCCCCGTGCCCTGCGGAGCCCCCCCTCCCCCAGCGCTGCCCACGGAGATGACGGGCGTCAGGACGATGCCCCCGTTGGCCGGGGCGCTCTCGGCGTCGGGCTTGAGAGGCAGGCTGGCCAGCTGCATGCTGGCGGGGAAGGTGGCCGTCAGGATCAGTTTGCCCTGCTGGAAAGTCACCCCAGTTAAGATGGTGCTGCCCCCTGCTGGATTGGTCAGAAGGATGTTCCCTAAAAGCGAAAGGAAAAGAGGACGGGGTGGTGATTCAATTCAGCTCTGCAGTGCAGGAGCTGATCCTGTCAGAACTGAAAAAAATCACGAACTGTCAGCCTGGCTGAAATGCTTTCTCGATATGAATGGAAAATCTGCATATATCTGTTGTTCCTTTTTACACGTTTTTTATTTACAAGAGCCCTAAATAAATTCATGTATTCCAGCAAAAAGGAAATGCAGGCAAATACCATTCTCTATATGAAATTAATCTGCACATTTATCTAGTAGGTTTCAATTGGCTAGTACTAAAATGTAAAAATTTTGTTTGAAAAGGATAACAAGGATTTCAAGATTTACAAGCGGCACATAGTGTCCCTGCAGCCTGTAAGCCTACCATGGGTCCGATCTGCACATCTTTCCCTCAGTTCATCAAGGACAGCGAGCAGGACGGTTCACACACACTGCGCTTGTCAAAGGAGCTAAAGACTGTGGAGGAATATCCTTGAAACAAACCTGGTGAGGCAGAAGGAAGCTGGAAGATGCTGGAGTTCAGGATCTGTACGCCTGTGGAGCTGCTGCCAGCTGTGCCAACACCCTGGGTGCCAGAGATCTGCAGAGCACCGAGCTGGTTTAGTCTGAAGGAGCCTGGAGCACTGCTGATGTTGCTGGTGGTGGTGAGGATCTGAAATGAGCCGGAGGAGAGGGGGAGCGCTGTGGAGCCGGGCACGACCTGAGGCAGCGAGAGGGAGCTCTGCGAGGCCACGGCAGGGGACATGGGCACCAGCTGGGGCAAGGACAGGGGCACAATTTGCGGCGCGGGGGCAACTGGAGAGACCTGACCTGGCTGGGAGAGGGGCACCACCTGGGTGGGGGGGGAGATGGGGATGATCTGAGTGCCGGACACCTGCAGCGTCTGCGCCGGGGGCAGAGTCTGGAGTGTGGGCGCTGGGGAAAGGGGCTCCCCCAGCTGAAGGGACAGTCCTTGCTGTGGCTGGGGCATTCGGGGGGCTACCTGGAAGCTTTGAGCTGGCAAATGAGAGATGGAGGTCTGGGGAAGCTGGGAGATGGGAACGATCTGAGGACAGGCGGACACCTGGGAGGCATGGGCTTGGACAATCTGGGAGACGGGAATATTCTGGAGCGAAGGCACCACCTGTGGGAGGGACAGGACTTGAGGGCTGCTGGAGACCTGGGCATCCTGGGACAGCTGGCGAGCTGCCTGCTGCTGCAGGGTGGGCTCAGCCTCGGACACGGGCGCGAGGGGCAGCTGGGCGTCAGCCGTGCAGCTGGGGGCGGGCTGCGCGAGCACCAGGGAGGGCGCCGTGCTGGGGGAGGAGGTGCCCGGCTCGGAGATCGCGGTCTTGAGGTTCCCAGACTCCTGGACGGCAAGCGAGCCCCCATACTCGACCGAGGGCAGGTCCGCGCCGGCTGACTCCCCGGCTTCGGAGCTGGGGAGGGAGAGCGCGGCGCCCGCGGCGTTGAGCACAATGGTGGGCACGCCTGCGGCCGCCTGCTCCTTCAGGCCCACGTCCGCAGAGCCGCTGGGCTGCTTGGAGACGACCGGCGCCCCGTTGAGCAGCAGCGGGGTGCCGCCAGCGACGGGGCTGAGCGTGATGGTCTGACCGTCGCCGAGCGCCAGCCCGTTGATGATGACCCCGCCGGCCGGCCCCGGCAGCAGGGAGCCCCCGTTGAGCAGCAGGGGCGTCTGGGCGCTGGTGGTGAGGAAGCTGCCGTTCAGCAGGATGGGGCTGCCCGAGCTGCAGGGCGGCCCGGGAGACAGCAGCACCGGGGCGGCGCCGGGCTCCTCCTGCGGCGCCGGCGCCATCCCAGCGTCCTCCAGCCCCCGGCTGGCCTCGTCCTCCGTGCTGTGATTCCCATCCGATTCGCTGTGGAGGGGAGAGACGCACAGGTCTGAGGAGCAGGCCAGGCTCGGGTACCTGCCGCTCCCACGGGGATGTGCTTTCCTGCTCCTGGCTTAGATTCAGGAACCAACAGCAAACCGCCTCAGGGGCCTTCATCTTTCAGCCTCTTCATCCAATCAGGGCTGCAGGGGAGCCGGAGTCTAGCCCGCCAAGCGACGGGCGCAAGGTGGGGTACACCCTGGAAGGGACCCCTATTTACCAGACCATCACAGACACACACACTCACAGCAAAGCCGACTTTCGCAGAAGCCAGTTAACCTGCCTGTCCTGGGACTGTGGGAGGAAACCAGAGCACCCAGAGGAACCCCACGCAAACACGGGGGAACATACAGACTCCACACAGACAGCGCCCAGCAGCTGAACCTGAGCCATGCTGACCACTGCCCCCCCGTGCCACCCCTGCCTCTTCCACCCGTCAAACAAATAAGGGGGCAAAATGATTTAGTCGAAATAACGGAAGTGTGAACAAACCTTTTGGGTGTCATTTAAATACCCAGGACAATTCTATGCAAAACGGTGTTACAGAACTGGAAAACATCCCCAGCTGGCGCCGGGGGTGACGTGCAGGTGGAGTGAGGTGTCTGTGTGCGGGCCCGCGGGCCGGCGCCCCGTGACTGCAGGGCACTGGTGACCATGTGCCCTGGCCATCACCGCAGGGGCGGGCACTGCTACCCCACAGCTGCTGATGGGTTGTCTGGGCCAGTCTTGTTTTTGGTGAATATAGCTCATGAATTTTTTTAAAATAAACTATACTTTATCTCCTTTTATTTTTAAAATTAATCTCCTTTTAAAACATTGGCTGCAGAAGCGTGAATACATTCGTTTTAAACTGCTATAGTAGCTTCTGCAATGAAGAAACCTGCTCCACAGGCTTTTCAGTGGGGATTAGCATCCAATATGACCTTATCTGCTCACGCCCCTCGCCTGGCGTGTTTCAGCTCAGAAGGGTTTCGAATTTACTGTAGGAATTCCCTGTTACTGTAATCCAAAACCTGTCCGCTGTGTGCTTCACGGTCAATTACTTAATAACGAAGGGAGATCCGGCTAACTTAATCTCTTTTTGCCCCAATCAGGGCTGAAGTGCCTGGAAAGCCAGTTAACCAGGTGTGCAGAATTGCAAAATTCCGCTACCTTAGCAGTTTAAAAATTGATGTATTCATCACCTGACTGGGGTAAAAAAAAGTAATTTAGTTCGCTGGCAACGGTAACCGCACTGCAAGGACGCGAACAAGCCCGATGAAGCGCATCTCGCAGGGAATCCGCAGCACCGGCAGAGCAGCGGGGAAACCAGCCTCCCCCCCCCATCCCCAGCGACCCCTCCCCCGGGTCCCGCCGCCACCCTGCCGGAAGGGCGGCGCTGGTGCGACAGGGCTGCCCCGCCAGGAGCCGCTGCGCTCTGTGGCAGGAAACCTGAGCCGGGCCGCGGCTCGGAGCTCACATTTCACAACACAAAGACACGCCAGCCGCGGCCGGACTGCAGACGCGCTATCACTGAGCGACAGGGGAACGAGCAGGCGAGGACGACCGCACCGCACGCCGCGTTTCTGTCATCGATGTTGCTCTCCAGTGAACTGGCTCCTCCAAGAACAGACGAGCACAGTCGGAAGTCATCCCGAACGCCACGAAGATGCGGAAAACACGCAAACACGCATCCAGCCGCTTCTCGGCGCCCTTACGGTGGCTCTCCGCCGCGGAGACACGGGGTGTTGTTTCTGTCTATCGTTATAAACACCGAGGTGCACACCGCTCGATCTGTCTTCTCAACACGCACCGACAGAGCCTTTACCGACGTTCTGACTGCTTAAGTTCCAGCTTGGCCGTGCTCGGTGTTTTAACGCGTCCGAACACACTGAGATGCACTCACCGGCCGTCCAGGTGCGAACGGCTGGCGTTTCTCGCCCGAGCCGCTCGCAGGCAGTGGGGTTTAATATAACTCGTGATTTTCAGATGCTGAAAAAAGAACGAGAGCAGAGCTCCTACCTCTTGCTGTTGGTCCCAGAAGGAGTTCGGTCCCGCTGCCGGCGGTTCTTGAACCAGTTGCTGACCTGGGTCAGAGAGAGCCCGGTGATTTTCGCCAGGTGTCGCTTCTCGTCCAGGGTGGGATACCTGTTGCTCCGGTAGCACTCCTTCAGCGCGTTCCTGGACTTCTCCTTGAAGCAGTACACCGTCTCCTCGCCGTCCCAGATGGTCTTCGGCAGGGGAAACTTTTTCCGCAGACGGTACTTATCCACAGCCCCCAAGGAGCGACCCCGGGACATCTCCGCCTCCTTGTAGCGGGCTTGCAGATAGAGGTTCTGCAGGAAAGCGTGGTTGGCCGGGTGAAAGTCATGGCTTTCCAGAATCGCGTAGAGCTCCTTGAACTCCTCCTGGTGAAAAGCAACGAGTGCCTTGGCCTTCAGCAGGGTCTCGTTGCCACGTAGCAGCTCCGCCGACGGAGGGATGGTGGAGAGGAATCTGCCCAGTCTCTCCACATTGCCTGCCTGCAGGAGCGCCTCGCACAGACACGCCACCTGATCCGCCGAGAAACTCAGGACGGAGCTCTGGAAAGTTTGCAGCAGCTCCTCGGAGACCTCATCCAGCGCCGCCGTCTCCTCCTTCAGGCTCCCGGAGTCCTGAACGGAGACTTCAGAAGGACTCTCCGCCTGGACTCCAGCCTCCAAAGAGAAGGAAGCCATTTTCAGCCGAACTTTTTTTTGTAGGTCCTCCCCTTTCTGCCTGTGTGCGGAGCCGACTGAAACGTCACGCCCGTCACTTCCAGACTCCCAAACTTCCAGGAGAGAGAGGTCTGCGCCGAGCGCTGCAGACTCTCGGTCCCTTTCTCTTTCTGCAGGCTCATTTCATGCAACATTTTAACACGTTATGTCACCCGTCTAAGTAACGAAATAATAATGACATGTTTCGAGACGTTATTCTGAGTTTCACCACACTTTCAGATAACGAAAAGTATAAACCTAAGCGTGACATTTTATGAAGCGTAATAATTTCAAACGTATGGCGACCACTCATCACGCTGATTTCTAACCTGAAAGCTCCAGTGTTTCAAGGTGTTCCCGTGCGACAGCCGAGCGGAGCCGCGCTGCTCCTGAGCTCTTCCTCTCACCGGGAATCGCGTGTGCAGCGAGATGAGAGCCGTGTCTCTCCCCAGCCCGGTAACCCCTCGGCAGGCTTGTCAGCTCCTATTCCAGAAGCCGCCAGAAGACACTGCAGAAAACAGCCTGCAAACGGGATTCTCTTGAAAGTGTTGCTGCAGCTGAGCAGGGCCTCTGTGGGAGGTAAACAGCTCCGGCACCTCATGGGAAAACAGCCCAGAGGAAAACCCTGCTGTGGAGCTGCACAGGCCTCGCTGCTGCTTCTAGAACAACCCCAAACACCAAATGCCAAAGGGCGAAGCGGGATTTGGGTTTCCCCCTGGGCGCGATGAGGCAGGGTGCTGGCCGGGGGCTGCGTGAGTGCGGTGCAGGCCGGTCCCGTCGACAGGAAGACAGAGGGCGAGCCAGCGCACCCAGACTGGTCACAGACCTGACGCGCAAGAGTGCTTGGACAGCGCAGCCAAGCCTCACCACAGCCAAGCTCAAGGCCTACAGCAGGAGGCGTGGGGCCAGTCAGGGCTGAAAGACATCTAATAATAATAATAATAATAATAATTGCTAACACTTATATAGCGCTTTTCTGGACACTCCACTCAAAGCGCTTTACAGGTAATGGGGATCCCCTCCACCACCACCACCAGTGTGCAGCCCCACCTGGATGATGCGACGGCAGGCATAGTGCGCCAGAACACTCATCAGCTATCAGAACATCAGCTATCAGTGGGGAGGAGAGCAGAGTAATGTAGCCAATTCAGAGAGGGGGATTATTAGGATTGGTATTGATTGGTAAGGGCCGATGGGAAATTTGGCCAGGACACCAGGGTTACACCCCTACTCTTTTCGGGAAACACTCTGGGATTTTTAATGACTAGGTTTTTCTTCTCATCCAAAGGAAGGTCCCTGTTTACAGTATAGTGTCCCCATCACTATACTGGGGGATTAGGACCCACATGGACCACAGGGTGAGCGCCCCCTGCTGGCCCCACTAAAACCTCTTCCAGCAGCAGCCTTAGTTTTTTCCCAGGAGGTCTCCCATCCAGGTTCTGACCAGGCTCACACCTGCTGAGCTTCAGTGGGCTGCCAGCTGGGAGCTGCAGGGTGAGATGGCTGCTGGCTGCTTTACTTTCACACAGCAGGAGACAGAAGTGTTGGACAAAAGTGCATATCGTCAAGGTAACTGAGTCAAGGTAAGGTGTGGCGTTGTGATATTGTCCTGTGGAAAACTATCGCCTGCGCTCTGTCCAGTCCCTGTGACTTACAGCCCTTCCTGAGCCCCACACGCGCAGGCAGCGCAGACCCCGCGGGTGGTGTCAGCTTCGGCACTCATCACACACCAAGACATTAACAATCGTATTGAGCTAATTATTCGTTCAAACTGGACCTATTTAACACATTCCACCAGTCTTCAGCTGCTTGGAACTGCTAACGGCTTTGGCGCCTGCTGGGTTTTCAGGGCTGGCGTTGCTGGCCAGCGGCCTGTCTGGAGAGAAAGGCCGAGCGCTGTGTGTCGCACCAGGGTGCTCTGTACGTGTGCCGAGCTGCCAGCGGCCTGAAGGCAGCACGGGCCTCGGTGTGGGCTGTTCCTGGCTGGGAGAGAACTGTCTGGGAGTTCACCTATTTCTCGATGCCCCGTTACTTTGAAGAACGGGGGGCTTTGATGAGCTCCCCGCGTTGCCAGCGGTGACAGGGAGGTGTGCCAGTCACAGCCAATCGTCGCTGTGATTGAAAATGTTTTCTTCAAAACGGAGAAGTCCCTGTGCTATGTCTTTATAGGTGCACACATCTCTCCTGCATCCTTACAGTTTCATTCACAGCAAGAACAGGCCTGTCTGTTTCTATACCATGCAACTACCGAATTCCAACACTGCTGTCACCTGGGCACCCCCCCCCGAATCCTCCCAGCTCTGTCCATCGCAGAGGGCGGAAGATATGGGCTTAATTTCCACACTTTCCACAATCAGGGAGGAGATCCATGCATACTCATTCAGAAACCTGGCTAACATTTCACTCTGACAAAAGCAAGGCCAGCAAACACAGTGAACTCATGGTGAGGATGGCAGAGGGTGATGCAAGTGCAGAACGCCAAAGCAATCTCCATGGCTGAGACAGGGCAGCTGCTGGTTGTTTGCCTTGTACAGCAGCGATTATAGTGCAGAGAGACTGAGAAGTTTGCACTGACCCCTTTCTCTTGAAATATGTTATGGCATATCAACAGAAGAATAAAATCATCGTGTGCATCTTATTCTGGTTGAATTTCATTAATAACTATTTGCAATTTCCACAGCCGTGGAAGGAAATTCAGCAGTTTAGCCCAGTGGTTCACAGTATTTTTGGAACAGTACGATAAAACCATGGGAAGTCTACGGTGCACATATTTCATAAGAGACTTTTGCCCAATGTTTGGGGTCTTAGTGCAGACGTGTGTCACAGCAGGCAAGTCCTGGGACGAGAGAAGTATGGAGGAGGTGTGGAGCTGGACTGGAGATGCATGCCTTCTATTAAACTATTTCCTCAGTTCCACTGCTCTGACAGTGAGTGTGGATATCCCCTATTCAGAGCAGTCGAATTGATACAGTCATGAGCCCAGTGCCATAACACGACATTTTCTGGATGTTTGTTCCCAAACACCTGAGTCATGAGAAATTAAACCCTTATTTCTCACCTCCTCAAGAACCAAGTGGATACCTTTCCAGGTACTTGACCAGTGGGGGGCACTCACGGATGAGCTCCCTTCCCAGCTCTCCCAGTCTCTTGTCTGCTCTCCCAGCACCTCTCAGCCCCACGCCGCCCCACACACTCTGGAATTCCAGCTTGTTTTCTACATGGCTCAGTTTTCCAGCAAAACTGAGTTGGTGCAGAGTAACACCTGGCCTGGCTTCTCCATGCAAATGTGCAGACTGGTAGAAAACTGGGGGCCAGGTGTCAACAGAAGCAAGAGTCAACACTGTCTGTACACTTTGCATAATGGCAGCCAGTGCACAAGTAGAGAACAGAGGCCCCTCCTAATATCGCTGTCTGACACAAAAGCCTCAGACGTTTCTGGCTTTACAGTGTCGTCAAGATATGCATGTCCCGAAGACAGCCATGCTCTGATTTTGAATGCACTTGCATCCAGAATACGTTTTGCACAACATTTCAAGAGGCAGAAACCTTCCTTAAGTGAACTAAGAAGAAAACTACCAACAGTTACTGTTGGTCTCCTAATACCAAAACACAAACAGGAGCCACAGGGCTAGAAGAGCCTGGAGAAAAGGGTGCAGGGAACTGGCCTAGAAACTGAGCCCACTGGCTGCAGAGGAATCAGCGCTGTGTTCAGCCCCTGACTCAGATTCCATTTCGTGTGTCTAAGTTCAGATTTCTGGATGAATGTGAGAGGCAGATGTGGGTAAACTGTTGATTTATCTCCAATCATACAGCTCAGCATGCCGCTCGGAACAGCTCTGCACAGCTGCTGCCCTGGAAGAGCCCCCTGCTCCGCGTGCGGAGGAGCCGGCCGAGACCAGAGAACGAGACTCTGGGCTCCCTTCGCCTCCCTGCTGAGCCAGCACCAAGAGAAACCAGCTGTGGTCTGAGCTGAGCGACAGAGAAACCCATTCATCACAGCACGACTTGACAGCTCAGCAATTTCCTCTATAATTCCTAACCTGCTGCACATGGTAGCTGCTGGACATGTATAGCATTGAGTTCCTGTTGATTTTATTTCTGATCAAGTTGTTATTTTCTAGGTGCACTGACTAAACTACTCTAAATATCCAACATCCAAGTGGATCGTCTACAGCAACAGCCGTGCCCGACAGCGACCTGCATGTCTTCTGGAAATGCATTCTGAGCCGCCGTCTCCAACAGCTTCACTTATCTGAAATTGTTTGCCAAAAAAGCATCTATAGAAAAATGTGTCAAACAAATTGCACAGAACCAACAAATGAGTTTGGGGGAGCCCCGTGTCCTCCAGTCCTCTCAGCGTATGTTCAGACTTCAGTACTCAGCTGAAAACTGGAAGGATCTGTGAAGTGCTCTGCTCCCACCCAAAAACTGCACAAGAGGAAAAGGCTCTGAATGCCTCTGGAATGTAATTTTGAACTGAAAGCAAACAGACGTTTTTGCAGTGTAGACTGACTACGTTGCTCCTGCTGTGGGACGCCCTGCTCAGGCCTGGCGCAGGGACGCGTGCGGCGCCCGGGCTGCAGTCAGAAACTGCTGTGGCGGAGCTGCGCCGCGGTGGGCCGGGCTGGGGGCCCCCGATGTTCAGAGCAGCACGTAGGCCGGCAGGACGCGGTCAGACCCCCATCTGCCAGCTCCGCAGAATGTAAACTCTTCCAGGGAAACCGCCGGATCGCAGCTGCAGATCAGGGCTCTTCAACACTCAGCCCTTTGTTGAAATGCAGACACCTAAATCAAACGCTGGCATGGTTACTTATCTTTTACGTGGTGTTGTTCTTGGAAGAGAGGGAGGTGAGGAGCTGCTGTGATATGAACTAACATGCCATTCGGCCCCCCCAGTGACTCAGCCAGGCACTGCTGGCATCTCAGAGCCTTGTGACGACAGGGCAGCCCCGAAGGGAACGCACACACCTGCATGATTGGACATCTGTAAGTTATCTACTCTCTGTCCTCTGACCTGGCTCTTCAAAGTCTCTAACAGAAAGCCTTAAATGAGACATTCCAGAATTATCCTCTAGTCATCTTCAGACGTGATCCTGCACAGTTACCGCATTGGCAAAAGACATTTTTAAGGAGCCTGGTACAGACACGTATTTTCCCCCTGAATCTCATGTTGGGGGAATTAATAAATTTGCAAACTGCTCCCTCTTGTGGTGATAATTTCTAACAACAGTAATAGAAATCTCACCTGAACCATACCAAACTCGTGTGCAGTATTTTCACTCCGGCTTTAGAGATAGATAGATACTTTATTGATCCCGTGAGGGAAATTGCAGCTGCCCCTGAATCAGATCTGAAACTGATATGGTTTAGCATGCACTCTCATTCCTTAAATTATACATCTTATCAACAAGGAAGGACAATGATTTATTACAAAATATTTTTTGTTGAAAAAATACACTTTCATTATTCACGCAGGAGGAAGAAAGGGCAGATCTAACTGCGCATTTTCATTAATGGGGCGCTGTTGAAATAAAGGGGACACCGAACCCTTTTATTAACTTGTCTTAGGTGTCCAATAAGTGGAAACACTTCGGGGGGCAATTTGGAGGAGGCAGTGATTGGTCTGACTGGTTTACTTTTACCTGCCGATTCTTACTAGTTCAGTTCAGTTTATTTGTCACATGCACACGTGCAGTGAAATGGTTATTTGCATGTGTGCTCCAATAAAAAGACATTAAGGAATCACCAAAACACAAACACAGAACAGCACCAGCAACAACAACAATGACGAGGCTTCACAGCCAAAATATTGTGTTTCTTTTCTTCTCTTTTCAGCATGGAATAAACCTTCACTCGTTCCTTCAAAGTCAAATAACACTCAACTTAAAACTAAACTTACAAATCGTGCAGGATTGCCCCTGGACCGAAGACTCCTTGATAGATTAGACATTACTCACAATCAAGTAAATACTTGTTGTAAGGGCACTACCGTGGGCTCACATGTGGACAGTCATACATAGCATTTCTGCTTCACGGTAGAAAACCCCACGATTGCTGTACCCTGCCCGCTCAGGTATGCAGCGTGCATGTGTGGCCGTGGAGCCAGCAGTGGGTCACCCTTTCTTATTTTTAATCTTTGAAGGGAACAGATGGCTCTGCTGAGATCTCGCTCAAGGGTCAACGGCACCGTGGGGTGCACTGAACACAGCCCCCACAATAAAGAGCGCAGGCAACCATTCACTAGATAGCAGTGCTGCCTGTTTTCACACATAGTTGAACTCAAATCAACAATGCACCACATTGTGCGCATCAGATGGAAATGGAGTACGTCTTTGTCCTACTGCTAGCACGCAGACTTCGGAACTAAATTGTACAAAGTCAAAAAGCCCCTTCTTCCGGTCTACAAAGAAATTTATAATAGCTTCGGGCAGCGGCGCTTTCAGTAGTCTCCCCTTCACAGACATCAGCCTTACTGGTCAGCCGCACTGCACGGTCTGGCTGCCTCAGCGCCGGGCACAAGACCCACTTCCTGGAGCGGTCTCGTGTCGCCCGGCAATCGGAAGAGCGGATTGGCTCCGTCCTGGGCCCCGCCCCCCCCCTGCGCTCGCTTCCATTGGTTGCTATGGGGAGTGGGCGGGTGGAAGGTTCGAGAAGCGGCTGTCTGGAAACGCAAGGGATTTCAGTGTGGGATCAGGCCGACGTAAACACGGGCTTTGGGCAGACCAGCTGCAGGAGGCTCTGTTTTTGTGCGGCGATAATAACCTGCAGGAGCTAACAGAACACTAGCGAGGGTCGCCGACAGCGAACTCCGTCTTCCCTTGCAGGTCCCAGCGCGCTCGGCCCCGAGATGGAAGGCGTGACCGTGGTCACCAGCCCCACGGTGTCCGTGAGGATGACCAGCTCGCTGAGCTCCTTCGAGGTGAATCGCAGGTTCAACCGCGGCATCACGATCGCCGAGTTTAAGGTGAGCGCCGGGGTGTCCGCGCTTCGCAGCGCTAGGCCGCAGGCGGGACCGTCCGGGCCGGGCCGAGCCGAGCCGAGCCGGGTCAGCCGGTACAGCTGCAGGGAGGAGAGCTGTTACAAGGCGGCGAACGGATCACAGGCGCGCTTGCTGCGAGTGAAGAGGGAGAGGGGTTTAGCGTGTGGCCGTTGGGGATCCACGCCGGCCTGCCGTGTCTCCCCACAGGCACAGTCATCCGCTTGGTCGTTTAGCTGGTGCATAAGTTGTAGACACGTTTTGATAACTAGTAAAACTAATTTTTGTATTAATAATTAAAGGTGAAAGATGCATCTTGCAGTACAAAAGGGCATTGCTTTAGCATTTTCATATGTGTGGATGAGTAGGCTGATACACCAGAAGGCGTGGAATGGTCTGTGACAAGTGCGAGGTGCAGACAGTGCAGGGGGCAGTGACACTGCAGCAGCAGCAGGGGGCGGTGTTCAGGAGGTGCCCTGTGCTGCAGGTCATGTGCTACTTTGCCTTGTCATACAGGCGGTATAACG